CGATTTATTTATTTCAACTCTCTAATAAATTTTCTAATTTTCATTATTTAATATATTCTATACCTATAATACGCATACTGGAACTATTCACCAGCCTAGACTCTTCTACATATCCTTAATATACTCTCAATTACATAGCAACCAGTATATATACGAATTCAGTTACCAAAATATAGTAAAAGAATTCATCAGCAATTTTAGTAGTAAACATAAATAGGAACACAACAATCAATAGTAAAATCTTGTTAGAATTGTAGCACCCGGAAAGGAGGAGAAAAAAAAAAAAAAAAAAAAAAAGGGGGGGCCACGTCAGCAGCCACGTCAGCAGTCCCGGCCAACCAGGGCCTGCCACGTGGCAAGATCACGTCACTCCGAAAGGAGCCACGTTGGCGATCCGCGTGGGTGCGATCCGACGGCCCAGATCAATCACGCGATCGAACGGCCCAGATTCAAACGCACGGACGGCCCAGATTCAATCAAAAACGAACGACCCAGATTAAAACGAAACGAACGGCTGTGATCAAAAGGCAAGGGGTTATAAATAGAACCCCCACACCAGACCACAAACCCTAGCCGCCAGCCGCTCGCCGGAGAAGACGAACCAGAGGCCGACCGCCGCCACCCGCCGCCACTCGCCACCGCACCGGGGAAATTTCCGACCGCCGATCGAGGTAAATTTCATACCCCCGACTCGTTTTTCCCCACTGATTCCTCCTATGGCCAAATCGAAGCCGAAATCCCGGCCAAACGGCCGGAATACGCGGCCGAAGCCCAGCAGCGCCGCCGCGCCCCCTCGGTTTTTGCCTCCGACGAGGCCCTTCCCGGCCTCCGTTCGATGCAATTTTTATATCACCGTGATCACCATTCTTTTCTCTACAGGTTGACCGAAGCCAAATCACCAAAACACGAACCTCGCCGGAGAGTCGCCGTACCCGAGAGCGCCGCCGCCGGTAAGCTCCGCTTTTCCGTGATTTTTTTGGCCCCCCGAGGGCCCTAGGGTTGTTTTCTGACAAGGACCAATGCGAGTGTGGCCGAATTCGGCCAAAAACGGCCGAAAACAGTCAACCCGAGGCGACTCGCCGCCGCCAGCGGCGGCGCCGTCACCGGAGCACGGCGGAGCCGCCGTGCCGGAGTTGCGATTTGGGCCGAAAGAGGCCCTGAGCCTAATTTGGATTTTTTTTGGAACACGTGCAGGTACTGTTAGTGTGTTTCAGTTCCCCGGGAAAAATTCAGGGAAAATTAGGGACAGCCTGCAGGCGCACTGTGAATCGTATTCGGATCCCGAAAATAAGTAAGGACCCCTCACCCTATTTCCTATCACGGTATTAAAGTTCAAAATGATAAAACGGTATTCCTTGAATTAACGCATGTGTGAAACTGCTTAAGGTTGCTAATGGAGCCCGAGTCTAGTGTGATTTATGATTTACTGTTATTTGACCTGTTTTACAGCATTAAATGCATTATGAGGTTTGATGTGTTCATTTTATAGTTTCGAGTGCATATACTACGTTTTTATTAATTATGGGTTGAATGACTGAAAAACTGATATTGTATGTTGTCTGTTGGTATGAATTACGATTTGCTTGTTTAAATGTGAATTGATGATGTTGATTGAGGAAAAGGAAAATGAAAGATTGTATAGACTGATAATTGTATTATGGGGGTCAGCCTGACTAGATATCCTGGGAGATGGTGGACGGACCGGGTCCGTAGGGAACCCTACCGGGAT